GGGCAGCACGGTGGCGCAACTGGTAGAGCTGCTGCCTCTCAGCGAACAGGTCCCTGGTTCAAACCCCGGTCCTGGGGCCTTTCTGGGTGGAGTTTGCATGTTCTCTCCGTGCATGCGTGGGTTTTCTCCGGGTACTCCGGTTTCCTCCCACAGACCAAAAACATGCATGTTAGGCTGATTGGTAACTCTAAATTGTCCCTAGGTGTGAGTGAGAGAGTGAATGGTTGTTTGTCTCATTTGTCTCTATGTGGCCCTGTGATGGACTTGCGACCCGTCCAGGGTGTACCCCGCCCCTCGCACAGTGATTGCTGGACATGGGCACCAGCGACCCCCGTGACCCAAAACGGAAGAAGCGGGTAAAGATAATGGATGGATGGATTAAAAGCATCTAAAAGAAAAAAAGTAAATAGAAGAAATGATATAAAAATGAAACAAAAAACAGAAACGGAAACCTAACTCGATGTACCTTTTCCTAAACCTGAACTTCTGACCTCTGACCCTAAACCAAACCCAACACTAAACCTAACTCAGACTGCTACACCTTACCCAGAGCCCTGACCCTAAACTTAACCCAGGACCCCTTTCTCTAAACTTACTGGTAACTCTCTGACCTTTGTCTTTAAACCAATAACCAAACCCTGACCATAACCCCACCCTTTGACCCTGAACTTAACCCCAACTGCCAAGTCTAAACTCAGACCCTGACAGGAACCCTGGGCCTATCATCCACATAATACTCTCTACCCAAAACCCTTGATGGAGTGAGGGCATAGCTGGAGGCCTGGGTGGGGGGATGGGGTTTGTGTAGGTGAGTCAGCTCAATGATGGACTCTCTAGTCTCCATTGCCTTTGGTGATTTTGTTGGATCTGGTGAGGTAGCGTCTGAGGCTTATGTCTTGGATAGCGCAAAGGGAAGTCTTAAAGATCTTCTCTGCTGTTCTCGCTACTCTCCTCAGATCCTTGCAGTCTGCAGCTGAGCAGCTTCCTCCCCAGACAGAGATGCAGCTGGTCATGAGGTCATGATGCTCTCAATGGTCACTCTGAAAAAGGTGGTGAGGACAGAGGGCTGGGGGTGGGATCTTTTTATCTTGCAGTGAAAATAAGGTTTGTAGGTTCAATCATCCAGATAGATAACAACAAAAAAGGTTTGATCATTTCATCTGGACCAGTTTCATGCAAACACTGCTGGACTCTCTTCATTAGGGACCCCGACAGCTGATCCATTATGTGCATCCCCAGGAACCTGGTGCTCTCCACCACCTCCACCGCTGTGTTGCATATGACCGTTGACATGCGATATGGCTTTGTTTTTCTCTAGTCAACAATAAGCTCTTTTGTTTGGTTGACATTCAGGACCAGATTATTTTTCCTACACTAGTTCACAAGGTGTATCTCCTCTTCCCAGTATGCCAGGTTGTTGTTGCTGATCAGGTCCACGACTGTTGTATCATCTGCATACTTAATGATGTGGTTGGTCTCAGACCTGACAACACAGTTGTGAGTCACCAGGGTGAAGAGAAGAGGGCTCAGCACACAGCCCTGAGGGAGCCCTTGATCAAGTGGGTAACAGAGGTGTTCCTTCCCACATGCATTATGATGAATATGTTTGTGATTACTTTTTTCTATTTATGAATTTACTAAAGTTTTGAAATTATACTTCTGAGTTAGCAATGGCTTGCTAAGGTCAATTAATGGTTGTGGCCCATTATATTTATTTATTTTGAATTGAATTGATTTTTTTAAAGCTATTTTCCTGTAGATGTAAATCAAATTATTTATTTATTTATTTATTTATTTTCAAAATGCATCCAGTGGTTCAGGAGACATTTTTCTAACAGACAAAAGAACACACACACATACCCACACACACTCAGACGTCGATTTCAACTCAGCACGTCTGTCGGCTGCCGCTGGATGTTAGAGTTGTGTTGCTATGACTACCAAAAGGGGACACACAGGAAGAGGGGTTAGCGTAGAGGAGGAGGAGGCGGCGGGGAGAGGAAAGTGGTCCGAGATTTAGAAAGAGAAACAGGCTTGCAGAGTTGCCAGCGTTTTGACAGCACCAAGCGACTAAAAGCCATAGCTGGGCCAACACGAGCTGTCGCTGAGAGAGGGAGTCTCCACAAACCTGCTAACGAGGGGCATCAAAAGGAGTCCGAACATTATCAGACAGCTGTTTGTTGGGTAAGTGATGCTCATGTGGATGTGTTAAAGCTTTTGTTTTTAAATGTTTATCAGCTAGAGAGGGATGATAGAAAGGCTATATTCACACAATTAGTCTTATTTCAGTTCCTGTTTCCCTCTTTGTGCATTGGCATGTTTTTGAAAAGCACAGTTTCCACCACTAAAACACTGTCCACATAGGTTTCGATGAAGTTAGATGTTGTATTGATGTGTTTTATTATAGAAACCAAAGAGTGCCATGCATATTTAAAGTGGCCTACCTGAGCTTTCACTTTCAGCTTCATATTTAGAGGCCAAGTTAAGTTCAAAAGAATAAAATAAACCGAGACAGGCTCAGAGAGGGTAGACTGACAGATATATTCAAATGAGGCAAACACTTGCATGGCTGTGTGTATGTGTGTGTGTGTGTGTGTGAGGGGGTGTTAAAGCACACTTCATTGACTGTTTGACTGTGTGGGTGTGCACTCGCTTTGCTTTTATTTCCGTTGTGTGTGTATATGCGTATATGTGTGTGTGTGGCTTTGTCTCTCTTGCAGTGCAGTAATGATATTTATTGCAATCTTTGCAGCAGGAGAGGGGGAGGGGTGTGATCGAGTACAAAGCTTCATGTGGCTTTTTTTCTACTACTTCCTATCATTTTCTGTGCGTGTGTACATGTGAGAAAGAGTGCGTATGTGTGCGTGTGAACTGCCAGCAGTGGTTACACATCTAACTTCTAGTTTGCTGTCAGGTGCGTTTTAATAAGCTGCCACTTGTTCAGTTTGGACTCTCGCTCAGGTCTGATGAGTACCTTGTCCACCAGCTTGGAGATGCAAACATCCAGTCTCACTTCCCAGTTCATCGTGGGGCCCCAGGCTAAGATACCTGGTCGGAGGAGAGGGCGGCCTCCTATTCGTAAGCTGGAGTTCCAGGGCGACTTTAATGATACTTTGTCCGCCCTCAAGGTCCCAAAGAAGAGAGGAAGGAAACCTGGCTTTAAGGTAAGTCAGAGTTTAATTTTAGTTATCAAAAGTTTTTTTTTTTTAATGAGAGGCAAGTGAAAGAAGCACAGCAGCAGTTGTTAGCCTGTTGGTTTTGAATAAATTTAAAGAAAAGTTCAATTTAAAGTTTTTATTCTTGCTAATTGTTTTTAAAGTAACTGTTTTTGGTTGTTCAGGCTCTGATTTGTCAACCGAGTTCTTTTTATAGAGAAAACATAAGAAAACTTGGACTTATGATGTAAAAAAAAATATGTTGTTGCTTTCTTAAGCACAGAATGTAAAACAGTTATTTTATAAAAACTATGTTTTTGGATCATTTTAGGCAAGAAAATATAGCACTGTGAATTTAAATCCCACGACCTTTTACTGACACTAGTAAAAAAATTAAAAATTTAAGTAGCATAAATATTAGCACAAATAGTGCTATTACTATTTAATTTTACAGTTTTATAGCTCATTGTGTTTGAAATATGTATAATGATTGATATTTACTTGTTGTCTGAATGCTTTTTGAATGATAATTTGTGGTGCTGAGTGTCAGCAGTTAGTGACAGAAATGAATTTACTTTACAATATTGTCTCCATGGATATATTTTAGCAGGACTAACAACTTTGAGGCAATTAAAATTTGACTGAATAGGCTTTAGCGTAATGTAGGTGGGCTTAGACCTCCCCACACCCCCACCTTAGCTATGCCCCTGCTAATAATACTTTAGTATTTCTAGTACATCAGAATTTTATGCTCCTAAAATATTTTTTTTATTAATGACAGATAATTGCTTTTGTCTCAGTCATATTTGCACACCTTTACACTTTTTTAACCTAAACTTCTATATTATGGAGGGTGGAATGATGCATTTATTTATTTAATTTTGTCACATCCCACCCTCCATACTGTGTACACTATGATTGAGTTGATTTCTACCCATCCACCACTTCGCTTTACGTTGTGTGTGTTTGTCACGATGTGTAGCTGAAGCCCAGGATAGTGAGGCCCCCACTCGGTCTCTCTGCTCCCAGCAGCACCCCAGAACCTGAAATGGGCTCCATCCCACAGGACGCAGCTATTGTCCCACACTCTGCCACACCACAAGTCCCGACAGGTAACTTAGAGTTAATTTAACCTTCATGAACAAGTATTTTAAGTCAGTGAGATGGTCCTAAATTTAACAGTTTTGACTGGAGGAGTAGGAAAACAACAGAAGAGAGACGACAGTTGAGAAGCAGAAAGGTTAGTTTTGGTTACAGCCATGCATAAATTAAACTTTTATTGTGAAGAGGTTGTTGGCAAAGTTGTAATGTAATTTATACTCTTCTTTTTTCTTTTTCTATATCATCTTTTTTTATCCTGTTTTCTTCGTCTGATTGAGGCTAAAATACATGCATCTGTCTGTTAGCGAGCACCATCTGTCTGCTTTGATCTCCAAATATGTGAGAGTCTGACTGCATAGGGAATGTGCACGTTATATATAGAAAAAACATGTCTGTTTACTGTGCATGTTTCCATGCTTTAAAGGGAGAAGTACACATCTCCAGCCACAATCACATGTTTGATATGCTTATTTAATCCTCCCCTCCTGTTTTTATTGACGCCAAAGAAAATCATATTTCAAATTATTTCACAAAAAAAAAGAACAAATTGATTTATTTTTGCAGCTATCATGTCTCTCCTTTTGTTCCTTATTTTACCCACAGGGCTTGTCTTGTTCCAAATAATCAAATACTTTAAGATTGCCCTGAGTGTACTTAGCATTGAAGTAGGGGTCTCGTGTGTCAAGGACCAGACGTTGTTTTTTTTGTTGTTCTGAACCGTGATAAGTGTTTGATGTTGAAGCACAGACGCTCACAAAAAAAAGCACACACACACAAATCAGTGTGCTCCCCGTGGTGCCGCCCAGACAGATATGTAAATCATTGCTTTGGGGAAGTGGAGAAGCATTTCAACATGGTTCCTGTATTTTTGGCAACAATTTTTGGGCTGCAGCCAAAGCAACATGCATTCCTCTTTCATATGTTACTCTTAGATGGTGCAACGATAAATATAAAGCTGTGTTATTATCTGTCATTCTGGATGCAATGACATACATTTGATTCACGCCTGAGCACGCCATCATAATAAATTAGAAAAACCTCTGACGAGACTTTTCATTTTATAAATCTGTCATTAAGCAAATCCATAACTGCCTGGCTTCAGCCAAACAAGGAGGGGTCTGCGTTATTGACAAGCTGAAAACTGGGTGGCACAAATGGGAACAGATTCAGGGGGATTTCTTTGCTATCATTGATTTTATATCTGCTTGTATTTAAAAGAGCTGGGGGAAATGAATCTGTTGTCTAAAACTGTAAAGGGAAAAAACAAATTCACTCAGACAGGACTCCTTGCTGAAGTTCAATCCCCCATTTAGTCTTCAAAGATGTTATGTGTTAATAATAAGTTGCATAGATTTTGCACCTCGTTTCCAGTTTGGAATCAATCTACAACCAGTTTATCAGCTTGTGGAAACTTCAGTTCAACACAGCAGCACTTTAAACAACAATTAAACAGTTAATCAACAAATGAACAGTTAAGCAACAATTTCAAAAAAATTAAGATGGTAATTCATGAGCAAGCTGTATGGACCAATCCAAATTATTTCAAGCTGATAATAAAACATATTTATATTAAAAGTTGGAAATCAGCTGAATTAATAACTAGAAGTCCATTGATTAGGGCCTTTAGAAATCAGGGCAGTTATTTGTTTTTCTTTTTGACATGAAAATAGAAGTTTAATATTTATACGCATCACAATCTTCTAGTTTTTGAAAAGAAAAGATTTCTTGTAATTTGACGCTTTAATCCTGAGGCCCTATCAGTACCTGTATTACGTTTCATTAAAGCCTCGCTTTTAATGCAGTTTGATGCGTAAAGTTATTCATAGTGTTTTTATTTTGAACCAATTAACCACTTCAGTCTTGGAAAGATAAGAGTTAAGGTCTTACTATTTTCCTGGGAAATCCAACACTGTTGTTTTAAAGTTGGTTCATGTTCAGATGAACTTAGTTTGTGGTCTGCTGGTGTTTACTACAAAATGCATACTTCTCAGTAGAAGCCTTGTGTCTGGCGTAACACCACTCTATGCCCACACCTGTGCTTGCCTTTTAATTAGCTTATTAATCATTATTTCTGATGCCAATTACTTTATTAAGATTAACAATCAGCCCAATAATCTGGCCAATTCTACCTCCACTAACAACCACTGTGACACTTCAAAGCCATATCCAGATTTTTAACTTTAAAGGACTCAGAAAATGAAAAGAAACCCAGTGGATGTTTAAATAACTGTTGATGCTTGTTAACAATATTGTTTAGTGTGGTAAAACTGACATGTCAGCTGAGTAGCACTCAGCTGATGTCATTCCATGCTTAAGTTAACTCAAGTTCAAGTTGAAGTCAAGTTTATAGTCATTCTCATCACATGTGGTGGAACGAAATTATGTACACAGGGTCCCAGTTACATCCAACAGTAGCAAAAATATAAAATGTAAAAAGAAACAGTAAATAAGAATATACGGTAAACGGTACGCTAAAAGATCTGTACTCTAAACACTAATAATGTAAAATAATACAGCGTAACAACAGCAGCCTGAACATGAGTCTGTGGTGAGCAGAATGAATGAATACAGCAGCATGAGATAATCAGCAGCATAAGATCAGCAGCATGGATAATCAGCAGCACAGATAAGTTGCACATCACCAATCTAAGTACAATACAGTGATTTGTTTTTTGCTTACAGTAATTATCCTGGTTAGGGATTTATGAGTCAATGTTATGTTAATACACTGTACTTAGGAATCTTGCCTGCTCCAAGGCTGGTTTTGGTCTACAGAAACCCAACTCACCAACCTGCATCTTATTGGATACAGTTTGTAGAACGGTTCTCCTTTACAATATCCCTGCCCAAGTCTCTTCTGCACAACCACATACTAAATATATCTGCTCACTGCAAGAAGGTCTAACATGAAAAATATTAATTATTAGTAATATAATTCATAATACTGTATATTTAACAGGGTGCTGGAATGTGACTAGAGATCAGGGTCAATAATTAACTTCAGTATTTGGCTCTATGATGTTTACTTTGCTTATTTAAAGTAAATTCTGTTCCTTGGCACTGAAAATTGGGTTTTTGTTCCTGTAAAGACTTTTTTTTGTCCTTTTGCCACTTTATTTCTATCAATATCAATATGTTTTTTTATGTTTAAATGAAGCAAATGTAAATGTAAAAGCTGACAATAGATTTATTTTTGCATAATGCGTTTAAAAATCTTCTCACAGCAGACACAATGTTGCCTGATGAGTTCACGTGTGAGCTTCCTGTGGACTTCAAGCGTTACGCCATAGATGCCAGTGACGCCGCCTTCAACATCATGACATCACAATACCACACCAAGCAGTCCTACGGTTACCGCGGCAGCAGTTGCTCTACTCCCATAGGTGTGCTCAGACAAATGTCGAGCCCAGCGAGCTTCCAGGACGGGAACAGAAACAGTGAGTCAGTTTTGTCATGGTTTCATACAAATCAAAGATGATAATTACAGAAAATGAACAGATTCAAGGTAAAAACGATGCATTCTTCCATGCAGCCTGCAGCCTGATGCCCGACACCAGAGAGAGCAAGCGTCTCTCTGGTAAACATCCCTCCAGCTGGGGTGTAGAGGATGTGGTTTGGTTCATCAAAGAGGCTGACCCCCAAGCCCTGGGGCCCCATGCTGAGGCTTTCAGAAAACATGTGAGTTCACACTCTCAGTACTGAGCTTCCACAGACTGGTACAGAAATATGAAGTGTCTTAGAGCAGACGAAAGTGTGCTTTAGTTGTAGGTGGGTGAAACCTGAAGGAATAAAATAGAAAAGCTCAGTATATCCAGCACCAGATTCCATCCATCTATCCATTACCATTAGCAGCTTCTTCCAGTGCAGGGCTCACTGGTGCCCATATCAGTCAGTGTGCGAGTGGTGGGGACAATCTGGACAGGTCACAAGTCCATCACAGGGACACATAGAGACAGACGAGACAACCATTCTCTCTCACTCACACCTAGGGACAATTTAGTTACCATTCAGCTTAACATGCATGTTTTTGGTCTGTGGGAGGAAACACACACATGCACAGACAGAACACGCAAACTCCACCCAGAAAGTTCACCCGTCCGGGATTCAATCCAGCAACCTTTTCGCTGAGAGGCAGCAGCTCTACCAACTTAGACACCATGTCACCCTCACCAGATTCCCTGTGGTCCTGAATATAAATGACTACAAATAAATCCAAGCTTAGACTTACTAAAGATATTTTAAGGTGTCTGGACGTCTGCCCCAAAGCATCAAACCTCTAAACTCTTCTTGAACCACTCTGCCACCTTCTCCCCAGGCAGCAATAAATATTTGAAATGTTCCAGCTAAAAGATATGAGCCAAACAACTGAGTTCAATGTTGCCCATCAATGAAAATTGAAGGCAGTTGACAAGTGATTAACCTTTGAAGTCAATCAATTTCAAGATGGCAGCCTGAGCCATCTGACCTTCAAAGCATAAAAATACCTAAACTCAATCTGCAATTTTACATTCATTCATTCAACCTTTATTTATACAAGTTAATCTCATTGAGCCTCGGGGACTCATTTATAAGAGAGACCTGAATTTTAACAAAGAGTGATGACGACAATGACAACGACATCAATAAACAATCATAAAGGATGTATACAAATTTTTTTTTAGCCCAACAGCAACCCACCACATTGTGTAAAACAGAGGCCGTTTTTAAAGAGCGTAAAGATACATTTATTATGGCATTACACATAAACAACAGCAAAATTATGCTAAACACTTTGTATAACACACTTTTAAGCTCTGATTAAAAATATACATTTTGCATATGTAACAAATATGTAAATCATATTTTTTTCCATTGAGCTCAGTATTGGTTTGTGAGTAGCCTCTGAGTGTGTCATCTCGTAATATTTGATGAGATTTCACGTTTTATCAATACTGTCCTTTCGCAGCATACCATGATTTTAAATCAATACTTAGATGTGAAAGACAACAATGTTCAGTCAGGTCGTCTGGGCAGTTTCTTTTTTTGCTGAGACGTTTTGTCCTTCATCCAAAGGACTTCTTCAGTCTGAGGAGACACAAACAAACGAGTCCTACAAGCACCAGCTCCCATAGTGGGAAAAAAATAAAATAGTTTGCTGGTGATAAGATGGTTTCTGGGGCCCGCCCTCTCCTCTGTCATGGCTGCCTTAGAGCAGTTGATGGGGGAAAGGGCGGGCCCCAGAAACCATCTTTTCACCAGCAAACTGTTGTTTTTTTCCCCCACTGTGGGAGTGGACTGAAGAAGTCCTTTGGATGAAGGACGAAACGTCTCAGCAAAAAACGAAACCATCCATATGACCTGACTTAACTTTGTTGAATTTGTACCTGGATTACTGAGCATGAACTTTGGTGATGTGAAAGATAATGGCTAAAACGTGTTCCTTCAAAGAATGCTATGTCTTTTAATTTTCTTTTGTCGTTTTAAACCTTTTATTGCACATTATGTAACTCTTATTATGTATGCGTTGTGCTTCAGGAAATAGACGGAGACGCCTTGCTGTTGCTGAAAAGTGAGATGATGATGAAGTACCTGGGACTGAAGCTGGGACCTGCGCTCAAACTCTGCTACCACATCGACAGACTCAGACAGAATCGGTCGTGATGTCAGAAACTGAACTTTCATGCTGTTTTCATTCAAACCTACTCAACACAGTCCACGCTCGGTGGCACTCACTGTATCTCAACCACATTTTGTTGGATGATTTGACATTTTTTATGTACACGTAAAGATTTTTACAGCTGAAGCTGATATTTCATTTTCACCTTCATTCGTCAGGATTTGTTTTTCCACAGAAGGCAGCTACTGTTTGAAACATCCCCTATCAGCAGCAATAAATAAAGCAGACCACATTTGTAGCCACAAAAAGTTCATTGGTGCTTTATTTATCTATCACATTTATAATTCTGCAGGTTTTTTTTTCTGCTGCTTGTTTTAAAACAAGGTTTTCCTATAGACTTTGATGCTTTTATACACTATACTATGCATGTTTTAGACGTTCCTCTGCTCCAGTGCACGTGATTTAAATCAATGGATGATTAGCACGTTTCTGCAGAAAAAAAAAAGATAAAATAACCATTGAATCAGATGTGTTGAAGCAGGAAAACAATAAAACATGCAGGAGAGAGGCCTTCGAAGACCAGGATTGGACAACCGTGCTGCACATCATCGGGCTTTAAAGGCATCACTCTTAAAAGCTACGCTGATGTGTGAAAAGCCGTAAAATATGATTCATCAGTTCCTTTGAAAACAATGTTAACATTTGATGACCACAGGCCGCAGCTCAGCACAATAGTTCAACAATGAGATGCAGTGTCAGTCAGAGGCGCCGGCAGACGCAAACAGGAAGGAGAAACGACAGATAAGCTCGCCGCTTTGCAAAGATCAGATTCACTGTACAAATGAAACTCGCACTGGATGATGCTCTTTAACAGCTGCTGTCATGACAGCGCCACTTAAAAGGATAGACCAGATGTGCTGACGTGGACGTTCTGTGGACAAGTTTAATATTTTACTTGTTGTAGCTTGATCCTTAATCAATCTGTTTGGAGAAACAAACGTTGAATTCTTACCAGACTCATGAGCTGACAGCTTGTCGAGACGAAAGCAGGAAGTGCTGTTTTAATGTCAATCACACGTTTCCTGGTGGTTCATGCTGCTTTTAAAATTGTATTTATTTATTTTGCATTACACAGTTTTTCCTGCTTAGATACAGCTTTTGGAAGTGTTTTAGGCTGTGCCAAAGGTGCCACACATACAGTAGCTGCTGCTGCTGTTTGCATTGGCAAATGACAATATACCGTATTTTCCGCCGTACACGTCGCTCCGCCCTATAAGTTGCATCAGTCCAAATATGTCTCATAAAGTGGAAAAATCCATAAATATGTCACTTCGCCGTATACGTCTCGTCTATTATGTGTCACCGCTGACGCGTCACGTTTGTTACGCTTCACTGCTGACAACCCAGAAATGTGGGCCGATGTTGTGCCAAAAATCGATGGGCTTCCAAATGGCGGCCACGGGAGTGTGCACAGGAAGACTTTAAAAAGTATTTAACAAGATTAACACTTAAAACCAATTATTTGTTTGATCGAAATTATAGCAAAGGTGTGTCTCAGTTGAACTTTTACTTAATGAATGCAATTTAATGGTCAAATTAGCTGCATTTTGCGGGGGCTGTGCAGCTGGTTTGACTTGCTCCAAGCAGCGAGCAGAATTAAGGTGGGGGGAACTGGGGCAAGCTGATTGTGTCATTAATAGCTGGTGAAGATTCTCAGTCATCCAGGACATGGTAAATTCAAAAAATTTCAAGACAAAAAAAAAAAAAAGTAAAGTATAGTGAATAAAGTCCAACTGTTTTTGTATTGAACTTTTTTGAATTTGTCATTATAGCCACGTTTACATTATACAATGGCAACTACTACTCTTCTGCCATCTAGTGGCTGAAAATGGTATTGTTCAGTTTTTTTCAGTCAGAATGAATGAAAATGGTCATATCGCAGCCAAAAATTGGTTTATAAATATAGGGAAAAATCCAAAAATATGTCACTTCGGCCTATAAGTTGCAGGGCGTGTAAATTATCCCCCAAAAAAGTGACTTATAGGCCGAAAAATACGGTAATCCTAAACAATCGTGTAATCTGAAATTAACATTTAAAATTGCACTTGCATGAACTGCTGTAAAGCGTGATTGGAGTTAAAATGGCAGAAACCTTTTTTAATTTGAGCTTCTCTTTTCAAACCCTATTTCTCCAAACTGAGGTTGTTCAAAGACTGATCCACAACAGGTAAGATATTATTTGGTCATAACCTCACTTAGACACCTTCACACTTAATCACGACCTCTTTATGTCCTTCAGAATTTCCACAACCAATCAGAATGTGGCTGGATTGTGACAAATCAGAAAAATCTTCCCCATTGCGGTCCAACATGATGCTGATCCTTCTAGCAAGGTCGTTGTCCAGCATGAAGGTTAAAAGATTAAAATGATAAGAACTATCCTGTTAGTGTAGTCTAATCAGTATCTTCTCCAACACTTATTCACTTGTCTCGTTTTAACAGTTTACAGCACACCATACCTCTTTTTATACCATTTTGAACATAAAGGTCTCTGCTAAAGCAATATTTCATGGCAGCAGATGAATTCTTGCAATAACCTAAAGGTGATGCAGCCTTATGATGCTCTACAGGCAACACTGTGTTAAACTTAATTATTGTTCACCATCATTATAGGTCAAACTTTCGCTTAAACCCAAACTATTCTTTCAAACTTGATGTTTAATCATGCTATTTTTTATATAATACAAGGAAACATCCAGGAGGGACAGAATGTGTATTTGTGTTTTTCTGTAGTGTTAAACCCATAGAAGCTTTGTGCACATGTATAAGGACACACACTTGAAAACAAACCATTGATTCTCACAGCAACACAACATGAATATTTCAGAATATGGATCTTACAAATGTTTGGTAAATCTCTTTTTGTGGTTATTTTACATCTTCTGATGGTTGCTTTTGGTCTCATTTTGGTCATTTTGTATATCTTTGTGATTACTT